ACACTGGTGACCGATGCTCAGTTTTATTTATAAAGCCCAATATCACAAATAACAATTTGCCTCACAGGGCTTTACAGCATACGACATCCCTCTGTCCTTTGGACCCTCGCAGGAGGAAAAACTCCCCCAAAAAAACCCTTTGACAGGGGAAAAAAATCCACCCATGCTACCATACATGGTGCCACCTGCTTCTCAGTAACCATTCACCCACACCCACTGGAACAGCCATCAGGAGTAATTTGGGGTTTAATATTTTGTCCAAGGATACTTTGACATGCGGGCTGGAGGAGCTGGGAATCACTATCTAAAAACAAATCAAAAGCTAAAGGAAAGCTAATCTCTCCCCTTACAATTCAGTCTTAAACTCCAAAACACACTGGATGCTCACCAAACTAGCATAACTAGCAGGAAAATTGGCTCAGTAGTTAACTTGTCACTAAAACTAACATTGCTGCTCTCTGAAGGGAGTAGTTAACAGCATGGTAAGAGATTTTAAGTTTACTCGCAATTTCTCGCATTGAATAGCCTTCTTTTCTAAGCACAACAATAGACAAAGAATGACAGGTCTCTAAAAGAAGTTAATTCTTTCTGGCCATTTTGAGCCTGTAAACAAACAAACAACTGCTGATACTTAAGATACTAAACTAAACTAAAGAATGCCATGCTCCCTTTTTGCTCCCTTATTAGTGCAGGTTTTCAGCTGTGCAACACAATTGCAAGAGGGGTTTTCTAATAATAAATTAGCCTTATAAAATGATTAACTTGGATTAGCAGCCATACCAGGAGATTGATACAGAGGACTGACAGTTAAATGGACCTGCATTTGTATAGCGCCTTTCTAGTCATCTAGTGACCACTCAAAGCACTTTTTACACAAGAGTCACGTTCACCTATTCACACACACATTCATACACTGGTGGCCGGGGCTACCATACAAGGTGCCACCTGCTACTCAGTTTTTAACACACTCACACACCGATGGAACAGCCATCGGGAGCAATTTGGGGTTCAGTATCTTGCTCAAGGATACTTCGACATGCAACCTGGAGGAGCCCGGGATCGAACTGGTGATCTTTCGATTGGTGGACGACCCGCTCTACCTCTGAGCCACAGCTGCCCCAGTTGCTGATAATAGGCCTCTATGCAATAGATCATTCTTTAAAAATCAACTGATTAATTTTAATTGTTTGTGAAATGGAAAAAAATGTTTGTGAATTGCATGAAAATTTGTTTTTCTTTGGAAAACAAAGAAGTGATCCCAAACTTTTAAGTGGTAGTGAACATACACACATATCCTTGGCATCAGATACTGATGCACATAGGCACCCTTAACGGCGGTATGAGACTCACCCAGCAGTGACATTTTTCTGCTGTAGTATAAAGAGCAAGAAAGTCTGCACAGGGCAGATGGGAGGGGTGGTGGATACACTTTCACCAGGGAGCCAGCTGTTTGTTTCAAATTATTTTAATAACAGTGTGGTAGTATGTTTAGCAAACTCTGCTAGTGACATAAGTGACATATATCACGTGACACCACTTTACTTTTATAACAAACACACTTAAGCCAATCCATTATGTTTTTTTCTCTAAACCTAACCCTGTACCTTTGTTGCCTAATCTGTGGAAGGTTTACCTAAATACAAAGATGTTTTCCTTGATTCTAAGTAGTGCTGCACGATTAATCTAATCGCAATGTTGGGCTGTGCTATTACATAACCGCAGAAAAGGCTGAGATTTGCCATTTAATGTAGGCTAAATAAATGTTAACATGTGTGCCTGTGGACGTGATTGCCTCTCCTATAGTGTGTGGAGTTTGTTGACATCATGCCCACAAGCTATCCTGGTGTGTGCAGCGTGTATGGTCAGGTGACCACCCGGCGTGCAGCTGTGACCAACATAGACGCTGAAGAAAAGCATGAGCATGACCATGAACAGGCTGAGTTGGTGGCAAAAAAACCCCCCAACGTTACATGGTGATACTTTGGATTCAGGTATGGCAACGTTGAACAGAAAGATGTACTGTGTAAAAGTTTGAAAGTTAAAGTCGCCACGTGCTGCGGCAACACGACCAATCTATATCAGCACTTAAGGCAGCACAGAGAAAAGTAGGAAGAATGCATGTGAGAGAAAGCCAAGCCGAGTAACGTTAAAGACAAAGAGACAACCGAAAGCCGCCAGAGCCTCATAAAGAAACAAAGTACAATTACGCAAACATTTGTAAGTGTCACGCCATATGACAAGACCTCAAAGAGACACAAGGATATCACAGTCTCCATAACAAACTATGTAATAACAAATGAAAAACTGAACAATTTTGCTCGGGTTCATCCCACTTGACATGCTGCTGTGTTGTGTTATGGCCTATTTCACTTGCTGGAATTTGTCATTTACATGACAACACCTGAACGCAACACAGGCAACTGAGTGTGTGTACGGTGCTGTGCTGCGCTGCTGTGCGAGTAGCGTGTTTGACTGTGCGTTAACAGCAGTCTGTTGATGGTTATTTACATAAAGTACTTTGCAAGTTAAAGGACAGTGTGCAAACACCTTTTTTCTTTTTGTCTGGACTCTATGCTCCTACGCACCTGTGCACAAAAGTTTTTCAAGGTGTGCATCAGCCAGATTTTTGGTTATTTACACTGTCCATAACAATAACTATGTCAGGTCAGGTCAGTGCCCCCCTGATATAATGTCGGGGAAACACTGAATCAAGCGAGAGGACTGATGATACCGATGATACCATTTATTTATTATACTGTAATCGCAATCGCAAATTGCGATGTTGTCCACCATAATCGCAATCGCACATTTTTGTCAAATCATGCAGCACTAATTCTAAGTTTATTCTAAAAAGAGACTGTGTGCATTAAACAAGCAGCAACTCAACATTTCCTGTGAAAATAGAGGTTCATTTTGAAAAGACACAATATGTGTGATGAGAGTAAATTGAAATGCCATCCCTGAGCTTCCAAAAGTGACACTGGTGGAGCGCATACAGTGTCATTATTTGACATGTAGGGCCACAGACCGAGTGTTGGTACTTAATGAGTTGGCATGAAAACAGGTTGATTTATTTATTTTGAGGGCTCCACCTTCTTCTCAACCTATTTTTTCATTTTGCTATAGCAGTTCCTTTTTTCCCTGTAGCTATCCATGTACTGACAACCATCACTTGATTACTTTCATAGTGGTGGGGTAAAGTCTGAAACATGTGTCTTTTGTCTAAACCAACTTAGGGACATTTGTCTGGTATGGATGTTGCAGAACCTGAAATGAAAGAGCAAGCTGTGCTGATTCTAGTAGAATATGTCTGATCATGAGGAAAAGGGATGAGACTTCTGAGGCAAAATGTGCCTATTTGGTACTAAACCTTCTGTAGAGTCAAAAGTTTCGAACAAAAACCTGTGGCACAACAAGGAGAACTATGTTTTTTTTTTTTTATTAAATTGTTGAGGATTTTTTTTACATTAAGTGTCTCAAATGCATGAACGTCACATGGAAAATTATATACGTCATCTCATATGAGAAAACAATAATATTTCAGCTGACTTCGACACAAAACCTGTGACCTTCACTGGAATCCAGGTTTGGAATCAATCCTTTAATGTGGATAAATGCAGGGTTGCATGGAAACCAACAGTTACGACCAGGCTAATGGGCCGATAATGAATAATATGATGAATCGAAACCTTTCACAGCTGCTTTCTCTATAGCTTCCTCAGAAGGGGATCTTTTAAGGGTCTTCAGAATGGACAACAAAAGCAGGGGGCTACAGCTCGCGGTGGACAGAAATAGCCCCCCCCCCAGCAGCCTTCCAACTGCGGGCCTCACACTGCAACATCTGACAAAACATAATCCCGCTCTTTTCACACCCTCAACGACTGATGAATGCTTGATCGCTTGGGTGTTGCAATAGGCCTTTCAGGGGCCAAAGCCCCCTTGCACACTTTTCATAGACACATCCTGCCATGGCAAACACTTATGCTTAACAAATTAGGCCTGAAAAGGGAATGGGGAACAGAGAGGGGATAATTCAATTATCCTCCTTTTTCATCTGGAAAAATCTAAAGGTGGGCTTTGGAAAGGAAGGGATTACTCCGAGTACAGGACCTGTATGGGCCTTTTACAACCTAAACAACTTAGGCCTTATAACACATCTAAGAGCGGGAGTGGTAGAAAAACTGATGAGGCAGCAGCAGTGGTATCTTTTGGACCTTGGATAAAAGGTAAAGCGCTCCTTGTGTGGACTTGCTCACCCCCTCTTACAGAGCTTATAATGTTGATTTCTGTACAAACCCTAGACTGGTATTTCAAAGAACCAGTTCTTTTCAAGGACCTTTAGGCAGATTTGTCTTTGCTTTGTTCTCTTACAAGAGAACAAGGATGAACTTAGTTACAAGATGCCTTCTGGAAATCTAGCCTGGGCCCATTCCTGGCTGTTAGATGATGGAAGGAGTGGGGTTAGACAACATTAATGTGCAGCATTACAGTCTGTTCTCATTCACGAATACCTCCACTCTGTCAGTGATTTCGGCGTCAGACACCTGACGCCAAAAGCCACCTTTGCAGGGGTATGATACGCCACTGGACGGCATCAGGTTGAAACACTCCATGTAACCACATACGGAGCTGGAAAGTCCCTGTAGGGTGGGCAGGAGGGATGATGATGGGTCCAACAAATCCCAGACTTTCACCCGAAAGCCCGGTGTTCACTTCCCATATGAATGTAGAGCTAAACTATGATGTTTTTTTTCTGAAACTGACCACATGATTTTGTTGACATCCCAGTGTTTGCAGTGAAATCCCAGAATGTCAACAGCAGGTGCGGGAGGATATCTTGTGCGTAATATGTAGACATGAAAGGCTACTGACAAAGCGGCGATATGTTATGTCCTGGGATGGGAATGTGTTGAGCATTAAGAGAAACTGTCTGGCAGTAAAAACAAAAAAGGCATAGACTTGTATAGAAAAGCAGCTGAAAAGAATCCAGGTTCCCTTACCGTAAGGTGTTGGAAGAGCCATGCTCTCATTATATTTGTGGCCACTTTAGGGAAGATGCCTCGTTTCTTCTGCCTCTTCTTGTCCTGGTCATCCTCGTCTCCTGTGCCTGGTGATGCCAGGCTGTTGTCAAGGGCGTCTCCTGCAATCAGAGACAAGAGGAGTCACCTTATGCCCTGTCGCCTGCATCCTCCTCTGCCCAAACGTTCCGTGTAAGGGCAGACAGAGGAAGACTGCATTCCTCTGTGGCACAGCAGCACAAGATTCCTCCTCCTCTCACCTCTATTTGACTCCCCAGCCATTGGCTAATGAAAAGGAGTTTGTCGTGCGGGAGCTCAATAAAACCAAGAGCTATTAATTCAATCTGAGCCACACATTTGACATGAGGTAATGGGTGCAGGAGCTGAGCGCCTGACATGAAATAATGAAAGTTCAAACTGCAGTCAGATTCAGTGCTATGCATTGTTATTTATATGTGACCTCCCTGTGAAATAACACTGATCATGTCCTTATAAGAGAAAGGGGTAAAAAAACAAAAACAAAAGCCTGGCGTGTGCATGAAAGATGAACCCTGCTGTTGTTGGACTGTCAGATCTCATGTCTGGCTATGGATCCTGCCATTAGCAGCATCCTTGTTTGATATCAAAGCTGGCGTGGATCGAGGCAGGAGGCTTCCTTTAAGCTGAAATTTCCGCCCTGCTAGCTAACTCACTCCATCTTGCAACACAAGGGGCACTCTGTTCCCTCTCCCTCTCTGCCATTAATTGTGCATCAGCTGAGATGATTTACTTTTAACAGTGGTGGTTATTTTTCTTGCCCTCGAGGCAGAGAAGCCTTGAAAGCTTGCCTGGAGGGCATGTGAATAATGCATCTGAGAGACTCCTCCCCTGAGGCGGGACAGGAACCCTGCTTTTCTTAAGATTTGCCCTAGCATGTCTTTTTGTTTTTAGAGATGCATCAATCAAACACCCCTATACGAGCCAAATTCATGCATAAATATTTCAGCTAATGAATATTGACATTAAAAAGGATGTGTTCTGGGGTTGTGGGCTCTGGGGGTTGTGGGAGTTTTGACGGATGGTGTCCAGCTCTTAGACACAGGCAGGGTATAGGGTTAACACTGCTTCTGTTCACTACACTTTGTTTTGTCCTTCACCTCTCCTACAGTCTGTGCATTAAGTTACTTCAACTTTTTTATTTACAGCTTGAGGTCAAGAATAGGTCTGTCATCTCCCTACATACCTCACAAGAATACTGAAAAGAATCACATATCAGAGACATTACAACTCTTAAATTGACATATAGTTTGACCATCATGAAAAACATGAACAGCTTCTACCAACAGTTACTGCATGTCCGTTTCTACTAATGGGTTCAGGCAAAACCAAAGAAAACAAAATAACCTCCAAATTATCTTCAAATTCCATCAAGACATCAGCTCAGACCAACAAAATGTTGAGCTGAATGAATAAAGAGAAAAGGAAAACTGTTATCATGTTGAGTTATCAGAGTATAATCTTCCAACAAAATTAATCTCAGCCATTTTTAAGAAAACTGAAGACCAAATTATTTTTCAAGATCTAGCTCTTTAAGAGAAAGGGGCAAGTCCACTAAGTATATATTTACATTAATCAAAGAGTGTCCTCAGTAACAAACTTTGACTTGAGTTTGATATCTCCACTGTATCAAACTCACAGTCCACTGTAGTATCTATCTTTCATCTGTAGATCAGAGTGCTACAGTTCATGTGATTACAAAAATCATCATAAAGATTAAGAGAAAGAAAGAAAGAAAGAAAGAAAGAAAGAAAGAAAGAAAAGAAAATAGGAAAGCAAATAAATAGGAAAGAATAAAAGAAAAAAGAAAAAAGAAAAAGAAGAAGAAAAATAAAGAATTAAGGAAAGACAGAAAGAAAGAAAATGAAAAATAGAAAAAAGAAGAAGCAAGCAAGAAAGAAAGAAAGAAAGAAAGAAAGAAAGAAAAGAGGACTGGATCGTCCTAATTATATCTAAGGAAGGCACGCTGTTTCCCCTCCACCCCTCCCTGCTGCACCTCCTCTCTCTTCCTCACCCCTCTTTCTTGTGCTCCACAGAGGGGAAAGCCGCAGGGCAGATCCTATGCTACACTAATCGCTACTGACTGTTCCCCAGCAACTCAGCCAATCTAACCAGTGTGTGACGGTGCAGTCTCAAAGTCATACACCCGTGCAAGTCTCCCATGCCCCCCCTTACTACTCCCACCCAGCCCCCCACACCCTGTCAGTGTCTGAATGCGTGACAGAGAGGAGGTAGGTGACGGGGGCGGTGGGGGGGCTGGGGGGGGGGGGGGGGGGTACTGCAAGGATGGCTGGAGTATTGCCCCGGGCCCAAGAAGAAAACACATAGAAAAAAACAGCACCTTAAGATATGAAGAGTCCTCCTATCCTTTCTAACCCCTCACCTCTGCTGCTCATATACGCTCTTGTCTGCTCAGTGTCTGTTCTTCTATCTCCATATACAGTTTAGGCCATTCCAACAAAGCTTCATTGTTTTTTTCTTTTCTGCTATACTCCTGCTGAATTCACAACATTCAGGAAGTCTTCACTGCAGAAATCTCATCTTACTTTGTAACATTTCACTAAGTTTGATAATGAAAGTGTTTATATTGTATTATAACACTGGAAAATGATACCTTAACCTAATTAATGGTATTTCTTTCTCAATAGAATTGAGGCTAACAAAACTTGAAGCTTTGCCAAAGGGCTAATCATTTTGTATACCAGACTTTTCAGTCTCCCCCATTGCTGTTGTATTTTTTTTCTATTCCTTCTAATTATTTATTAGTTATTGATGTTTTTTCATTCAAAGTCTAATTTTTCCAGATACTGTAAATCTCCTGAGGTCTATGTACTGCATGTGTTTACTGGGGGTTGGATATTCATAACATTTGAAACTGTATAGGTTTTAAATGTAGTTATGTTTTTTCTATCATCTTCTCCTCCACAGTCTGTGCTCTCTCTCGCTCAGGGGCTGTTAATGCTCAGGAAAGCGGTCGGTGGATGACGTCCATATGACAAAGTGCAGAGCGGCTAGCAGAACTGATTGCAGCTCTCCCAGTTGCATCAGTGATGCAAAGCCAGCGTGGCCTGTCTAATGAGCTCAGCAGGGCCTGATCCATCATCAGTGACACCTTGGGGCTCCTCCCCTTATTAGAAATGATAAACAACTCTAAATGGAAGAGTCTGGAAGCTTTCCAAGACATAAGGAATCCTCTGAGTGAAAAGGTGAATGTGATGATTAGAAGCGGTTGATGGGGAGATGCTGTTTAAAGCCAAGCAGTTTGCATGCTGGCAGCACCAAATGGCAGTTATATGTACTGTCCAAAAATTCTCCCTGCAGTGCCCAGGAAGGCACCGACGAGCTGCACAAGCAAGCCTCTATTGAAAAAAGATGATTTCTAGGGATGCTGGAGTACTTCCTGAATGAAGGAGGCCATTGCATTTCAAAGTGAATAGTCCACACTTGACTCTTGGGCAAGGTGCATAGATGTCTCAAGAACATAAATATAGGTAAAATTGTTGTTTGGGCAAACTGAACATTTACAGGGGCCTGATATTGATATTGGCCGCGTTTCCCAATTAAGAGCGATCTTAAGACTTAAGAGCACAGTTAAGAACGTCTTTGGTAAGAAGGGTCGCTAAGATACGAGTGTTTTGCCAGATGCGTTCTTAATGCCCTTCTTAGGGTCGCTCTTAAGATCGCTCTGTTAAGCCCGAAAGTCCCCCAAATGACTTTGAGAGCGACTTTGCAAGCACAGTGTGAAACAATACACTGATTACGAAGAATATAGTGAGGTTGCACATCAAATTAAACAGCAGAACCTTGGCTACAAGGCTGTAAAAACCCTTTTTACATGCCCCAAACACAGCTCAAACAACAACTAAATAAACAACAACAAATCCAACTCCATACAGCACCGATATCCCGACCCACTCGGTATATTTCAGGCTCTAACTCGACCACACTTAATGCAAAACACACGGTTCATCTCAAATGAAAGCTGAGACTCCGCTGTTTCCACACATATGCGCCAAAGCTCTCTACCCTAAAGCATCAGAGAGCTAGAGGCCAAAGAACAACAACAGAAATCTTTTTGCCAAAATATATTTGTAATGTCTCTCTCTTACCTTGTTGTTTTTGCCGTGAAAAGCGCATTCTGCTGTAAAACCACGTTCATTCCCGTTTACCATGATGTTGTCTGTCATTCAAATGAATCCAGGCGGAAAAACTTGCTGGCCGGAGGTTCCGGGGGAAGCATAACAATGACCACTCACAGCAGCCGACATTGCCCCACAACGCGTTCTGCTGACTCGGATTGGCTTACAGTGCTGTCAATCTCATTTTGGTGGGTATAGCATCATTCTATTGGCTCTAATGAATCAAACGAGGTGTCAGTCACTCAAATCGGCCAGGCTGTCACAGAGATACAGGCCTCCAAAGCTCAGAATAGAAACTCAGTTTCAAATGCAGTAGGTGTGTATTGGTCAGTTTGAAGTGGGAAATAGAGGGAAAAAACGAAATGGACAGTTGTATGTGTATATCTTAAACATCATTAGGGATTTACAGAAACAAAAAATGAAAGAAATAGGATTGTACATGACAAAAATCACATGCAAACATGGAGCAATGTTGGAGAGCTCGTCTGAATTTTCTGTACTAAAACCTAGCTAATATTGTTCTGCTTCACTTTATCAGAATCAACCTTTGCAGAGATAATGTTCACATATTGTACTATGATTTGATAGAGGTTTAGAGCTGCTGCTGCATCATTCCAAAGGGATACTCATCCTGAAAATGCTTTTTTTTTTAGGCAAAATATTTCATTTGTGCTGTGTGCCATCTTCATTTACTCTTCTCATATAACACATATACTGATATTTACACATCTTAACAAATCTCACAAGTGTTGAGTCTCCCTTTACCATGACACCAAAAGTATTCAAATAGACCTTGTGGTTACAGAGATATATTCATTTCATTATGGGTATGCAATTTTCGAGCAGAGGCCTATAGGCTTAGCTATGAAGCTAACAGGAGTTGTCCACTAACGCGGTGCTGAAACTAAATCAATCGATGTCAGGCAAATCGATCACCCACCACTTAA